GAGGAGGGGGGGGGGGGGTCTACGGGCCCACCAAGGGGGGGCCCCATCACACAGCAACACAGCAAACACAAGGAAGAGGTGTGAGAGATGGAGAGCGATGGGACCAGACGGGGGAGGTAGGGAGCGTACCTTGGTCCTCCATCATGATATGGGCCAGCCCTTCAGAGGGAGAGAAAGAAGAGAAGAGCAGAGGTAAGGCACACGTCACACGGCAGAGTACAATGCCCGCAGCGGGGATTGTGGGGACACATACTTTCACTGAAGTATGGCACCCTCAGCATCATCACTCCCTCCACCTCAGCTTTCTAGGCCATGCAGGAAAGCTGCTTCTTCAGCATAAGAACAGAGATAATAATGGCCGCCAACTGACCTGGACGCATGGGGGAGGACCCCCCGGGACTGGGTCACAGACATGTCACATGGAGGGGGGGATCTTCCCGCTGGCTCCTCCCACCCATGCAGCACCTGTCTGTCTCTGGGGGCATGCTGCTTCTGGAAACAGATTCCGTGGTCCGTATTATGAGAACCCAGATACCCATAAGAGGCAATGACTACCCGGAGGTGTCAGGGGGCAACACTCAGGGACCGACCCCAGGGGCAACACAACGCGGTCCCGGGGGCAACACAACGCGGTCCCGGGGGCAACACAACGCGGTCACTACATCTCTCCCGGGGGCAACACAACGCGGTCCCGGGGGCAACACAACGCGGTCACCACATCTCTCCCGGGGGCAACACAACGCGGTCACCACATCTCTCCCGGGGGCAACACAACGCGGTCACCACATCTCTCCCGGGGGCAACACAACGCAACCCCCCGCTGGGGACTCACCTGGCAGGTCATTGGCATCTAAGTTGGCAGAGAGGAAGAGAAGAGAGAGAGACAATCAGACTGTGAGCACACGTCATCAACATTGCATGGAGCTGGCTACACATGCAATCACCACGGGGCGTCCCTCGGCCCCTCACCGCCACCTCATGCAAGCGAGCGGCACTGTGCATGGCTGGGGAGCCGATCCGGGGGCCCCTCACCGCGACCTCATGCAAGCGAGCGGCAACTTATGCTGGCGAGGGGCACTGTGCAAGGCAGGGGAGCCCATCCGGGGGCCCCTCACCGCCACCTCATGCAAGCGAGCGGCACTGTGCATGGCTGGGGAGCCGATCCGGGGGCCCCTCACCGCGACCTCATGCAAGCGAGCGGCACTGTGCATGGCTGGGGAGCCGATCCGGGGGCCCCTCTCCGCGACCTCATGCAAGTGAGCGGCACCTGGAAGAATATTTGTTAGAAAAATATTCATAAAATTGATCACACAGCACGCGGGACTCCTCCCTCACCATCCGCGGCCTGAGAACACC